AAGGAAGAAGTAATATCACTCTGCAATAAAGTACACTATTATGTTTCACAAAATCTTAATGCGTACGACGATTGGCTGTTTGATTGGCTTTTAACTATCCAAGGCCCCACTTTATAAATAATCTGATATATCTTTATTTGTATAATTCTATATATGACAGCATGTTATAAAAATTTGCAACATATACAGAAAGTAAACGGAGTTATATATCATTTGGATGTTGCAAGTTGAAAAATTCGAATATAAGTTACGAATGACAATTTGTTAGTGATTGATTTACTATTAAATTTCTATAATTTCAACTATTTTGGGCTTCCCTTAGCAATGTGTCTTTTTATAACACACCTTGAAAAATGAAACCATGAATTTGAAGTATTTGCACCATGTGATTTTCAAATATAAGTCATTTATCAATTGAGCTTTGTTTCCATTTTCTGTGTCCAAACAATTCTTAACATATCATCATTATACTAAATCGTTCTCAGCATTCATTTTTTTAAATCCAAACTTTTCATATCAAATTCATATTGTACTCCATATAGTCTTATATTCATTGTCAGAGTCCTAAAAACTCGCAAGAAATCAAACACATTTATTTATTAAATTCAAAAAAGAAATGCCATACAGTGCCGTTGCAAGAAATCATACAAACATAGTCAAACACTTTCAGTTGCTATTTTGCATATAACACAACTATAGTGATTTAGAATTTTAAATCGAAATCTTAATACTACTTTTATTAAATGTAAGACAATTTTTTTTCCAGATAATAAGCTTGTTTCATGATCTAAACAATTATTTGAATATAATTGAACGCACGTTTGTGTCTGAATAAGTTAATATCACTTTTTATACAGCTTATGAAATGTACAAATCATGCAGTCAATAGATAAAATGTTATAAAAACGATACAAGCATAATGTACTTTGAACAACTGCTCCGCTCTTGATGTTTTTGAAAGACTTAACTGTCAAAAGTTTAAACGAAAAATTGGCGCTTGGAGTAATGAGTTTTACTTATCTGAAAACTGTTGAGGAATGAAAAATTAATGAAAGAATTTACCATTCGAATTCATAAAACTTTCATAGCATAATGTACTTAGAAACATCCGCAGATGTGTTCATACGTCGGTTATCATGGAATCTTCAATGTGACACAGTAGTGCCATTCCATGAAAAGCGGCGTATGGTCCCGAAGTAAAAGAATGGTTTTGCCCTAAATGACAAAAAAATGGGCGGAACTAAATAAAATGGAATTTTGAAAGGGGATCTGAGGTTATGAAGCCTGCATATCACAAAACCAGTTTACAAACCAGCGAGCTTCTATACGTTGACCTTTGTAAGACATGACTTAAATCAGTGATCGGAGTAGTCTGTGATCATATTACTACTTATCCTAGTAGGTATATTTGCGACGTCCTGATACGGCCATTCCGGTTTTCATATTCATCTAATTTTCATATTTAACTTCAAAGGTGAACCATACTATGAAGAAATGATATGTAATATGAAATAAATAAAACATTTCGACATGGATTAAAATAAGACACTAAACTATATGAAATTTAATGCCGCCTATACATATTTGTTATCCTGAATAACATTCATTCTGACTTATTTTTACATTATTATATAGTGAATTATGTGAAAGCCGCCATTTTTTATAAACATTGCTTTTTAACAGCATGCACGATAAAAGCCAGTCATTTTAGAGGGGGGGGGGGGTTAAAACTTTTAACAGTAGCAAAAAATCTACAAGCTTAAGCACCAGTTTCTTTGTGATATGTTGCATGTGTAGGGAGTTGCTAAAGCAGAGACGGTGTTCCTTTAGCCTGACGTGTATATTTACAGGTATTTTTTGCCAGAGGGACGAAATGTGTTGTTTTTGGTATCAGGCTACTGTAGATTTTGGGCTTCAACGGAATGAATTGAAACTTTTTTGACTGCCTGCCTATTGTAGATGGGATAATTTCTTTGTAGATTTGCAATCTTATGTCATATATGTTATCAACAAAACAACAAAATGTGTTTTCTTTTTCCAGGTTGTGTAGTTTGGTATCAGAATTAATAGACGTATTACTTGTAGGACATTGACGGCAGGAACTTGAAATTAACTGTGGAGTGCTACCTTTATTTTATATAAAATTGTTCAAGTACATACTATTACAGCGATATCTGTACCTTATCAATACTTTACACACTGACAAGTTATCTTTGAATGAATACCGATAGATAACATAATTTCTAAATTGTCTCGGGTAAGGTTAATGTTTAAGTGGTGACGGCGAAACTTCTACTGATAAAAATGCGATTCATGTATAAATGAAGAACAATAGTGTAGATTTTTGTGGACGTAAAAATTAATTAGAGGAACAGTTTGATATAAAAAATATTGTTTTAAGATTTCTGCATGTAGAGAAGCAAGCGACAATAAAGGTAAATTTATTTAACCTTATTGCAAATTATATTATATTAATCTTCTTAAAATTTCATTTATTTATTTGCTTCTCATTTTTTGTATATTCTTTTTAATTAATTCAAAATACATATAAATTACCCTCAAAATTGGACAGCGTCCATTTTTTATAAACAATTGAATTAAATATCACATCTCTGTTAAAAAAGTGTAACAAACATTTTTATTTGACATATCTGACTACATTATGGACTTTGAGGATAAATATTTTGTTTGTTTGTCTTGTATAACATTAATCCCTTATTTTACTGGAATTGCACTATGCATGTTTCTCGTTTAGTGACACAAATCGTAACCGGACGTGTAAACGTAAAAGCGATTTTTTTCTCTATTTGTTGTCTTAATATGAACGACACAAAACATTATTACAACCCTTGGGAAAAGGTAAAAACATGTATTTATAAATATTTTTCCTTTAAAGTAAGTAAAGAAATGCATACCGGCTCACATAATATATTTTTATTCAATAATTTCAGTATCTTATTTATACCATTCAATACCCTCTATTGGAATATATGAGAACAGTTATCCGATAATTTATTTATAAGTATATAACACAGTATACAATATATGAAAAAGATATATCATTGTCGCGTACAAATACTTCTATTTAACGTATAATGGACATCGACACGAACATCATAAAACTTTGAATTTGAGTCTTGTAAATAGGTAAAACAAAATTCTTGGAATAGTTTTTGCTATATTTATAAGAAAAAAACGAATCATTCTCTTTCAATTTATAGAGAAACTGAGAAGTTCATGTTCATCTTTAAATGGCAAACTCGTTCAGTTTACGTTCATTATGTATACTTTGATGTTTCATTTTCAAAACTTTTATTGACAAGTTTTAATTGAATAACATTGTTTTTTGTCTCATTTACTACTATATTTTATTTAATATGATCGTTTTTAATTGTCTTTTTTGTATTACTCGTCTTTTGGCATATCAATAAGTGTGTAAATCGTTTTAGCCTCTTCGTATGTTGTTTGAAGGACACATAACATCAATTAAGATCCATACGCGCAAGAAAATATCCGGTTTAAATGAACGGTAAAAAATAATAAACAATTTAGAGAAATACATGAGACATTAAAAGGTTAACAGTTCTTAATATCCTTTTAGTAAAATATAAATGGAAGAAACAGAGTAACTGTAATGCCTTTATTGTAAATTATCTAAACATATTGTATTTACAAAAGTTATAGTATTTTTAAATACATACAATAATACACTTATCTAAATTGAGCAAAATGTAAAGCATCGTGTGACTACATTACATGATAAGATTGTTTTTAAAGTTATCTTTTCAGCACCGAATTAGTTTGCCGTTTTGATTTATTCTAGTATACTTATATATTTACTCCCCCTTCAACAAAACATATTTCTGTTCTTTTACTGTTAAAATTATGAACTACAGCATTTTTTGTAAAAGTCGGTGAAAATGTCGATAACTTAGGAAAGGACAGATAGATATGTTAGTTCATGCTAATGACTTTTTCAGATTGAATGTCGTCGGATCAGAGCTTCTGCTTCAAAATTTAATTTGAAATATTTAAATGGTTTTAATTGTTATCACTATTTGTAAAATGCTAGACAGATAAAATATATATTTGTCATGTGACATATTTATTGCGTGTTTAGTAGGCGAAATGCTGATTAAAAGAAGTTATACGGACATATTTGATTTGCACCATTCGATGCTTATCTCATTAAACTCAATCCTTCACAGTTTCCGTATTTTTTTATTTGTTTGGGTCACCAGACCAAACAAATGATGGTAGCGTATTTTCAGAGCCTGATGTTCTTTTTTGCAAATGCCGAAAGTAGTCCAAACTCCTCGAAGCGGTTACTTCCCTTCAAATGTACATTTACGCCGAAAAATTCAGGGGAGATTACCGCGTAAAGATTGTCAAATGAGAGGCGCATTAATTTTCGGAATGAATAAATAGTTCCCGATTGGTCGAAGATTTCTTATATTGTGTAATTCTTAAAGGTATACATGCTTACATTCAGCTCCATGATTATTTACTTCAGTGTTAAACGACAGGCAGGTTTACCGTGAACAAAATATATCGAAATTAATAAGGGTAACACATTCTAATTTAAAATAATATGGTATTCGTCATGCTGTTATAGCCCCCCGTGGTCGAGGGGTTTACACGCTCGCTTTGGAAGCGAGAGGACTGGAGTTCAAATCCCAATTCAGGCAACGCGGTTTTTTAAAGCCAAATAAACATTGAATTGAATATCAGTGCAGTGTTGTAATAAGTCCTACTATAGTTATAACACTGGAAACAGCATTGGTGACACTATACAAACAAATTGGTTTATAATCTCACAACCTTCACCTTTCTGACATTCTAAGTCCCAAACAAATTCAGCACCTTCTGTGCTTTGATTTTGTTCTGTAAGAGAGGCATGTTAACAAGTGACGTGAGCGAGAGATTTAGTGTACCGTATAGGCCTTCGTAATAGCGCCATATAAATGTGATTGGGGTATAATTTTGAAAGCGATAACCATTTTATAACCAACATTAAAGGGAGTTAAGCTTGAAATATTATTATGAGAGACAATATACATTCATTACAGGCCTTGAGTAAATTGAGAACAGGCTATCTATAGACGTTATCTATGAAAGGAGGCGTACATCCGAAGGTAACTTTGTTTCGTTACATTTAAGAAAAGGATATATATCTTATTATTGATAAACCTTATTAAAAATCTTTGAAGTTTATCTGGAAAATAGTGATACCTAACAATACAAAAGGTAACATGTTTAAACATAAATCTCATTACTTTTTTTGGTTCTTAGACACGCTTGCAAACCTTATTGAAAATCTTGGAAGTTTTTCTGAATATAGTGATATCTCACAATAAAAAGGTAAATTATTTTAACATAAACATCTGACTTGTTTTGGTTATTTCTATATATTTTTTTATTTGCGTGTTTAAACATGCATTTGCTAAATCTTAAAGGAAATTATGAGATTGGTATTCTTTTCTGTTATTGTTCACTAAACGTAGCGTCAACACATTGTCATCTCCTTGTTTAATAAAAATAGAACTAGTAAGGAAAGTATGAATTATTTTAGTATTGGTCACGCTTCATAACGTTATGGAAAGTTCCTTGTGTTAGTCACAATACTTGGAATCTTAAGATAATACAACATTTTTACCCTGCAATATTACACTACTGTACATTACTAATTTCTACATAATCGATGGCTCCATTACAAGGAGCTGATAACTAGCATATAGCTTGTCCTTTATTGAGTTCAACGCTTGACATAAAAAAGAACATGCTATTTATACACGGTTTCCTTGAAAATAAGTAAAGTAGAATTATATTCATTTTTTAAAAAGATGAGGTGTCCGACTTTTTTTGAAACTGTCATAGGAAAGGTAAGGAATTGTGGTAATCGTTTTTTGTCTCCGATTTTTTTGTACGATATAAATATCTGAATTTTATATTTTTTTCATGGATATGTGTGAAATTCTTTGCTCCGATTTTTTTTTTGCAAAAATAATGCATATTTTTTTTTCAAACTATAAAGTAATCATAATAAGATATGTTCGGTTTCTTTAAAAAAGACTTAGACTCAAGTTTAGTTGATGACTGCGATCGACCTTCATAAAACTACAATATGTATACTCAAATTTACCTTAACTTATAAACATCTCAAATGTTAATCGTATAAAAGGTCATTGAGTTGTACATGTTATTTATGGTCTCATCTGTTTCTTTTCTTATTAAGTATTTAATAAAGGGTGATCTGGGTGATTTATAGCATACAACTTTTACGACATGCTTGTAAATCTTTTAAAATTTACTGCAAATTTAACATGCAGTGTCATGAGTGTACATGAAGTACCGTGTACATAAGTGTTGCGAGAGTAAATGCAATGTCGCGAGTGTACATGCAGTGCCGCGAGATTTAATGCAGTGTCGCGAGTGTACATGCAGTGCCGCGAGAGTTAATGCAGTGTCGCGAGTGTACATGTAGTGCCGCGATAGTTAATGCTGTGTCGCGAGTGTACATGCAGTGCCGCGAGTGTACATATAGTGCCGCGATAGTTTATGATGTCAGTGTCGCGAATGTACATGCAGTGCCGCGAGTATATATGTAGTTTCGCGAGTTTACAGGCATTGCCGCGAGTGTACACGCGGCACCACGCGTTTACACCAAGTACCGCGAGTGTACATGTAGTTCCGCGATAGTGCATGCAGTGTCGCGAGTGTATATGCAGTACCGCGAGTATACATACAGTGCCGCTACAGTAAACGCAGTGCTGCGACACAAGACGATGTGCTGCGAGTGTACATGCAGTGCTGCGAGAGTATATTCAGTGCCGCGAGTGTACATGTACTCATGATGTAGTGCTGCAAGAGTGCATGTAGTGCCGCGAAAGTATATGCAGTGCCGCGAGAGTATAAAAATAGAAAAGATAGTTCATTGATATGGCAAATGAGTATTTTTTTGTAACTTTAAGAAGATACCAAAACTATTTTTTCGACAAAAATAGCAATTCTGAGGCATGATGAGCCTTTAATATTATAAAGAATTAAATTAATGATATCATAAAGATTTATTTTTCGTATTATTCCAAATTCACCATGAGTACTAAATGGTAATGTCTTGTGGCTTTTCAATAAATTAGAAACATTATGAGTTACTAATTAGAATGTTTTAAATGTTTTGACATATTCCACATAAAGCTATGTAGAAACAATACTGTTATGAGATAAATTTTCTAAAGATCAGTATCGTTTAAGCAGTTTTTAATATAAAATAATCAATTTTGCAAATAAAATATATAGATTTAGAACTAATTATCAATCGTCAAGTCATAATGCGAAACGCGGAAAAGGACCGAAACATCTAGGGGCCGATTTTGCACAGGGGCAGATTTGGTTTGAGGCCGAAACGTCCGAAACGTTTTGTTCAATATAATAACACAATTACTGTGGCAAATGGACTAAATATATGAATTATTTTGGTATTGCTTCACTAAAAAAATAGATATGAAAACTATTTCTTACATTATAAATTAAGTCTTTTAATTACTTTTAACTAGGAACAGACATAATTTAAACCCAATGTTTAATACATGTTTATGTTGTTTTATAGAAATGGCGGTATCAGGACGTAAACAAGTAGACTTGCTAGGATCAGTAGCAGCAGGATCAGAAGAAGACTTTGATCACTGTTGTGACCCATGCCTTACCACAGGTCAACGTATAAAAGCCCATGGATTTTGCGGCACATGTCAGGAATACCTTTGTAGTACCTGCCTGGATTGTCACAAAAAGGCAAAAATTTCCCGGAATCACAATATTCTAAGTAAAGATGAATTAGATAAGTCCCATACAAAGCAGCAATCATACAACGAATGTACCGAATTATGTGCAGCTCATAAAAAAGAAGTTATAAAATTTTATTGCCCATCCCACAATGAGCTTGGATGCAATGATTGCATGACTTTAGGCCACCGAACGTGCAAAATTGAGTACATACCTGATAAATGCAGAGGCATTGCAGAGGGCAAGGAATTCGATAACGTCATGCAAAAACTCAGCGGAAAACTTAAAGAAGCAGAAAAAATCTCTCGAATGGCTAAAGAAAGAAGTAATGATATAAATAAATGCAATAAAGAAATAATCAAAGCAATAACAGAATTCCGAAAAGTAATAAATGACCGCCTTGATCAGATGCAACAATATGTTTCAACAACTGCTGAAGGCATAAAGACAAAGAACATTAAAATCGTTCAGAAGGTCCTTGAAGAATGTGCAAGTATGATTTCTGATATAAAAAGTCTGCAATCAAAGCTAAATGTAAGCAAATCAAATCAACAGCATAGTCAACTCTTCATTGACATAAAATGGGCTGAGTCTTCACTGAAATCAAATAAATTAAATGATGCAGAAAATTCTTTGATAAATACTAATATGCACTACTCATTTGAGCGAAATTCTGACCTTGAATCATTGTTATCGAAAACAAGGGTCTTTGGTGAGATTGTCAGTCATTCTTGTTATGAACCGCCGAATGAGATGAAATCTGTTGATTGTCTGATTGTGAAAGGAGATATCAATGTTAAAACTTCATCGGATAAAATGACATGTGATATCACAGGATGTGCAGTTATCAACACAAATAAACTTGTTCTAGCTGACTACACCAACAAAAAGGTAAAATTGGTATCTATAGATAACAAACTTGTACAAAAAGAGAAAGCTCTAGACTCGAAACCATTTGATATTGCTGTAATGTGTCAGGATCAGTTCGCTGTAACAATGCCGAATATCAAAGAAATAGTTGTGATGACAACAGACAACAAGCTATCATGTGTCCGCAGTATTAAAGTAGATAGGTCATGCTATGGTATAGACTATAATCGGGATTGTCTTTATGTTGCTTGTTTGTATCCTTCTAGTGTGATTGTACTGAATACACAAGGTGATATCCTCAATAAAATCACTCTGAACTTTCTTACATCTGAATTTGTCCCGTATATTGCTGTGAGTAAGGATTCCAGACTTCTGTTTATCAGTGACCGTGTTAACAACAGTATAGTGAGTGTATCATTACAAGGGACAGTTACAGCTACATATAAGCATACAGATCTTAGTGGACCACGAGGAATGTTGATGTTAGATGACGGGTCATTACTTGTCTGCTGTTCTGTTAATGGAACTATTCATAAAGTCAACGGAGACTTGAAACAAGGAAATATAATGTGTAAAGGTGTAACCAGCGCTCAGACAATATGCTACAGTGCCCACCATGATGAAGTTTATGTTGGTTGTTTCGGTACAAGTCTGAAGGTTTTTGGCACAAATGACATTTAGATACCGTTTGACTTCAAAATCAATGATCACTGATTGCTATTCATTGTTAAATGCAATTCAAAATTATATATTATATTATATTATATATATTTTAACTTTTTAACCTTAAAATATTTTCCAATAATTTAATTTGTGAACTTAATATAAGTTGATTGAAATTTTGTTAAAAAATATATTGAAATGAATATTAATTCATTTTGCACAAAATTACAAATAAAGATAACGTTTGACTTGAAAATCAGTCACTGATTGCTATTTATTGTTAAATGCCATTCAAAATTATTTATATTTTAACTTTTTAACTTTAAAAATATTTTCCAATATTTTAACTTGTGAACTTAATATAAGTTGATTGAAATTTTGTTAAAAATATACTGTAATTAATATTTATTCTTTTTGCTCATAATGACAAATTTAGATACCGTTTTTTTCTCTATATTCTAATTTGTTATCACCAATATGTGTCAGTTGAAAATATATTAGAAACAACACTGAATTTAATGTTCATGTTTTAGTCATTCGTACAGCCTATATAGCGCTTACTTAACATTATTATTCAAAGACAATGAATAGTAAACTGGTTGTAAGGTTTGCATGAAAAAATAACGTAGGAGTGGTGTGATGTGAGGATTTGGAAATCAATGAATCACTTTGTGTAAGTGTGCACTCAGACAAAATTTATGCATATGTTGTATTTTTAGCTGAATATGTAGATGTTGTTTTTTTCGCAGTCCCAAAAATTCGAAATGCGAGCACATATACGACTACACTCGATTTTGTCGTAATTTCGTGTTGAGCATTTTTGTGACAAAGTCGTTTAAACTACAAATCATGAAAGATTTATACTAGTTTCATAACACTTTTCTTATTTCTGGCTGCTAGGCAGTGGGGCTACTACGCAGCTTTATATATTTTTTCAAGCCCGTAAATATATTTGTATGTCTATAGTTTTTTTCTGATACCCTGGACAATTGATTCTTATACATTTTAACCGCTTTTTGCATATCTAGTATATGTTACTAAATGCTACTAGGATGCTGGGCTAAAATAAGTTTTGAAACCTGTTGATATTGCTATGCCCGATGTTGTGTCTATCCGAATTTACTTGTACCTTTAACTGTTTCATAAGCGTTTGGTGATCCAGATCGACCACTTCGTTATTATTTCATGTTTTAAGTATAATACTAATTGTCACAGTATAATTATCGTTCATTTAACACAATTGCATGTTTTAATATTGATAACAACCATTGATATCACGCAATTGTCCGTATATTTATGTAAAATCCAGTCCCAGGTATATTTGTTGTTGTTGCTGTATGCTCCGTGTGACGTCACAATCTATTCACGTGATACGAGGTACACAACAACACAAAACAGTTATAGTAAAACCTCAGTCGAAGATCGAGAGCTCGACCGGGTGGTCAGTTAGAAAATGGAGTAAATTAATCTGAATGGGTTACATAATTAGTTTTTAAAGATAAATAAGGTTTTACCAGTCATTGATCCATAATAGAATAACTAATCATTGAATACTATAGATAGAGACCCCTTGACCAGATCGGGTCAAGAGTACTTAATGTTACTGTTTTCTTAAGAAGACTATCAGATACTTGGAACTGGATATATGAATTAAATCATTAACTTTATAAGTGAGATTGACATTAAATTGAACCAGAATTTGTTTATTCTAAGTTGTTATATAATATTTCAGAAAAAACTGAATTTGACCGAATCCGGTCAAGGTATATTGAACAATCTATATTTGTATATAAACTGTTTAAGTGTTTAATTGCTAGTGGTCTGTTTGACCCAATATTAAAATAGTGTGTAACTGGAACTCTGTCTTGTGTTGTCCGTTTCTATTTATAATTCAGTCCCACTAACTTCAAAGTAATTGGAGTTCATGTTATGACCTATGAAATCAATACATCCTAACATTTACCTGATTGATTGATAAAGGGGCGTAACAATATTCGTCATACTAAAAAAATGACACAATTTTCATACAAATTTTAAAGATACTTCAAGGCAAAATTGACATTAATGACATTGACCGTAAAGGTCAAATATGCAATTTTTATTTTATTTTTTACAAGAAAACTATTATTCTTTCTTGTAATTTTCTTCCCCTGGTGTGTTTGGCTTTAAATATTTGAAAAGGTAGAGCACTGCCCTCGTCGGAGGCATTTTTTATAATGTTTTCCTGTATCTTTCGCGTTTCTTTCCAGGTAGCATGTACATGCAACATAATTGTTAAATAATGTGTTATGTTTGGCGATGCTATACATAATAAATTATTATAAGCATCGATGCGCTTGTTTTTGTTCATTTATTATTTTTAAAGCACATTACACTTCGGAAATCAATCTAATTTCTATGCCTTTAAAAGGGCTAAACATATGATCAATAAGTGCTGTCACTTTAACAGCTGTATATATCTTACATTACCACTACTACCTATACTGTCACTGTAACAAAAAAACTTCTAGCTAACATAGCAAGCACTACAACTACTGTCACTGTAACAGTACATAACAGCTTATGTTACCACCACCACAAATACTGTCATTGTTACAGTAACTAAAATTAATAGCATTAACACTGCTGTCACTGTAACAGTATCTACAGTTAACATAACCACTCCACTCCCACTTTTGTCACTGTAACATTACCTATAGCTAACATTACCACCACTACTTCTACTGTCATTGTAAAAGTATCTACAGATAATATTACCACTTCTACCATTGCTGTCAATTTAACAGTTTCTACAGTTAACATTACCACTCCCACTTTTGTCATTGTAACAGTATACAAAGGTATCAATAACATTACAATCACTGCTGTCGCTATAACAGTATCTACACCAACATCACTACCACTACTGTCACTGCTGTAGTAGCTAAAACTATCAGCAATAATACAACTGTCGCTGTTACAGTATCTGCAGCAAACATTACCTTTTCTAATACGTGGTTAAAATTCTACCTAAGTTTTAAGAGATTTCTTAGAGAAATAATTGGATAAACAACGTGCGTCGACACAATCACAAAAAATCTACTTCCAACAACGCTCTGATGGCCTTAAAACATTTTCAATGGACACACTGTCCTTAATATTATAAGTTGTTAAAATAACACTTATAGTCAGCTGCCGTTTCGTAACATGTGCATGCATATTTTACCATTGCCTCTGAAGACAAAAGTCAAATTTATTAATTTTATTTGACATTTGTATACGCAACTTTAGCAGTTATATACTCGTATACGGCTAGATATTAATAATTGTCTTTCTTTTTGTTTTGCTGGAACATTACCTTAACGTATATACAAAATACTTTATTCGTCCAGTATGACTTTACAAATAAAGTTTTATTGCTTTTAATTTTATCTTTTATCATAATATATCCGATTAAGGAATCTTAATATATAAAAGAATACATAAAAATATAGGTCAAAAGAATATTGATTTTTTAACAAATGTTATTACTCGATAAATGTTGGAATCTCTAAAACTTAACACTTGATATTTTTTTATATATCGGTAAAGGTGCACATCAAGATAATAAATGAATAAATAATAAATAAATAATTCTAACACGACCCGCATTTTTCCATATTGAACATAAAAGAACCGAAAGTGTGTGTTATTATACAACAGAGTCACGGTTTGACGTTCTATATTAAGACATGTGACGTAATCACTATACACGTGACGTAACCACCAAAAAATACAACGCGATGAAATTAAGTACGGAAACAAATCTGGCGCATTTTGCTTAATATCAGGTACGGCAGCATTTATTTGTTGATTTCGTGTTATAATCGAAATAATATATCTAAATCGGTGATTTAATCGCTTGATAACATCACTGTTTGTCGTTCGGATACGCCCTCGTGATATAATTCCTCGCATCCGAACTCCAAACAGTGATGTTATTGAGCGATAAAATCACTGTTTGGGATATATTATTTCTTAAATAAACAATATACAACCGCTATAATAAAACACACAGAGCCACTTCCCCCTCTCTTATTCGTAATAAATTTTAACTATATTTTGATGACCTAAACATTGTCCACATTTTCATGAAGAAGAACGAGTACTACTAACAAGCCTTTTTAAAGCTTAATTTTAAACTTCACGTCACACAAGACCTCTATTTCATGATTTATGGAGATTATTTTCTCATTTACCAACGGGAAATATTTACTTCGGTACATGATACAATGGTGAAAGAATCACCGATTAAGCACCTTGGAAACGCTGGTATTTCACTAAAATACCTGAGTTACATTTTTCAGGTATTGTATGACACCAGTTTCGCGACAAATGTCTTTTGATTAACGTATTTGTAACACGATAGACTTTCATACATGCACGTGTTGTTCTCAGATAACTGATATAGAACACTAAATAAAATTTATTTCTTTGATTGTTGCATATTTAACTAGCTTTGTTTATTGAAAACGTTTTGTTTAAGAAATAACATCGGCCTGACAGGTGTACATCGGCTATTTAACACCGGTTTGGAGTTTTGATGCGTAGGAATTGACCACGAAGGCCGTAGGCCTGAGTGGTTAATTTTTTCGCATCAAAACGACAAAACCGGTGTTAAATAGTCGATATACACCTCTCAGGCCGATGTTATTTCGATTCTAACACAATAAAATAAGGAAGGTCACTAATGTTATTTTTTCAAGCGGAAATAACTTCCGGTGCCGATTTTTGTATAACGCTGTTCGATTTTCGCACCCTACTGTTTCGAAGATATAGAAATTATTTAACAAAAGAAATAATAAGAAGAAAACGTTATTTTATCAAGTTTTCAACAATTAAAACTTACGTCGTATTGTGTTTACACCAGTGCCCCAGTTATCATTCTTGTATGTATGAAATAACGTCAGCTTGTTTATGAATGAGTTGTTTACTTAGTATGACGTCATTACGCTGCTTACGGATTGCCGCCGTTTTGTTAAAATATTTATTAACTGATATGAATCAAATATGTGGCGTTAGTGAATGTGAGATATTATTTCGGTATTGTATGAAACGAAAACATTATATAAGAACTGTAAATATAAATAAAAATGTTTTTTATTGTTGCTTCAAAAGCCTTTGTTAACTATATAATCGAGGGTGAAAACATAACAGCCGCATATACAAGTAGTCCCTAACGAGTGTTTATTGGCAGTTTAACACCGGTTTTTCCCTTCTTTGTCTATAGTGACAAATTCACGTGAGTGTTAGAATTGTTAATATAATTATCAGTAAAGGGAAATAACTTTCAAATGATTTGAGTGATACAAAACATTATCACAACACTTGAGGAAAATGAAAGTAAAAAGATGCTATTTATAACTGTTTTCCTTGAAAGGAAGTACACTAACGCATGCTAGGATAGAGATGTCAATTGTTTCACATCCTTTTTAGAAAAAACATGAATGGGGTTTTCTATTTGAAAACGTGAAATGGCTCGGACAATGTTATAGTAACAAGTAACAATAGAAGGTAAACAGTGATTATTTTTCAAGTTAATTTATTTGTTTTTGTACGCTATATACATGTATTTGCTCTCTATATATTAAAAACAAAAGTTTATAGAGTGATTTAAATAAGGTAAGCAATGATTATCTTTCGTGTTAATACGTTTGTTATTCATGCGTATTTAGGCATGCATTCGCGTTGACGTATGTCATCGGGCAACAGCCTAAAGAGTGTATAAAGTTATATACATGTATTCGCTCTCTATAGATTTAAAACAAAGTTTAAATTGTGATTAACATGATAATAAAATACCTAAAATTAAATAATTGTTTTGCCAATTTTACAGAGTGGGACATTCATGAGATCATTTTCAAAGCTATTAAAAATAGGAACCTCTACTTTCGTTTCTGATCATTATAATATATTTACATATAATATACATGTATATTAAACAATATTGGCCTTTTTTTGTTAAGGAAAACCCATAAATTATGAAAACCACACTTTACTGATCTTTACATTTTTATATAGTATTTTACCAGAAACAGATTCAGCCAGTATGCATCTGAACATTTTTTTCCCTTTAAAAGCTTTTAAATGTTGTTATTCCATTACAGTATCCAAAAAGTTACTCATTACCTGAACCACCTCTTTTAAATTTAATGCTTTGACAATAAGTACATTTATAATGAATTAGTATTTTGTATGGAAGTCAAAATACTTCTTTGTTGACATTTTGCTACTTTTATGACAACTTATTTCACATCCATCGCTACTGTTTACGTAGTATACGTGCGTCAATTATTGACTATGATAATTAAAAGATGTTATTTAAACAGTTCAAATAGTTAATAGTTGAAAGTTATATCACAAGAATATTTCGTATTAAAATTAAAACTTTTTTTTTGTTTATGACAGTATATATTCATGACTAGATTTACCGTCTTTACATATAGCTGTTCGTTTTTTTTCCTGTGATTTAAACAAGAATGCTAAGCTTATCCTATAAATATAAGAAAAAAAAACTTTTAGCTTTTCCTATGACTAGACCATGAATTGTTTTTTTTACGATTTCTGAAAGTATTTAATAAGTTCACAAATATTAGTTAACCTTTTAACGGAAGAGAAATTCAACAACAATGTACTTAAATTGAGATAACCAAAAAGGCTACAATTGTGTGGCGATATTGTTTAGATATTCAGATAAGATATTGAAACATAAATGTACCCGAATACATCGGCCAATACATCACTTTTAAAAAGTGTTCAGCTATCTAACAACATGTAGGTGGTTATAGATATCCTTTGTTCATTTCAGATACGACACATTAAGATAAAAGTTGATAGTTG